CTCGCCGCCCCGCGGGGTCCCGTGTGGGCCGGGGCTGGTACCGGCTCCGGCTCCCGGCAGGCAGAACGTTCCTCAGTGAAAGAGCCGGGGGAAGGGCGCGGAGGAACGGAAAACACCGGACATGCGTCCAGCTGATCGATGGATGGCCACGGATGATCAGAGGCAGCCCCGCAGCCCGAGCCTGCTGGATGCTCCCTGACTGCAAATAAAAACTGATAAGAAGTTCAAAAATTGGCGATGCAGGTGCCAGAAGGATGATTAATGTAAGATTTAAAGAAGAAAAAAAATTCCTTCATAAAATGGCCCATTGCCACTGTGCAGAGAGCAGCTGGGTACATCTAGGGGGCAAGGTGGTAATTTGGGGACCCCTTGCTGCCTGGGGCTATGTGCTCTCAGGTAAAGGGGATTTGTGATACTATAAAACATATTTTTAAATTACAAAACAACTGTGTCTAGCTTCTCGGGTGGTGTGGCTGGACCTGACTTGTTCCCCTGTCAGTAGAGGGACAATGCCTCTCTCTCCTCTCAGGACTGGATACCACAGAAGAGCTGATAGAAGAAAAAGTATAAAGAGAATAATATAAACCAAAAGTACCTTTGGGCTCATTCATGAGCCCAAGCACTTAGGAGCTCCATACCCAGTTTCACCCAGTGCCGGTGGTAGCTCCTTTGGGAGGGAGATCACCACCTGTCGTACCAAGCCATCACCTCTGCTCTTCCGTATCTTCCTGAAAAAGTCTTTCTCCAATTTAATTCTGCCAGTCATTTGTTGTCTATGAACAAATAGTTACACCATCTGAACAGCCACTATGTATTTGTACCAGACAAGATGTACTTTCAGAGAGCCACAAGACAATTATTTTAACACTAATTTAATTCATTAGTTTTAGGTGTCTCCTTTACTGTCAACAATTTACATCTGGAATTCCAAAAACTTTAGAAAATCAAAACAACAAAAACCCACAAGGGAATTGGACTGGTGCCTCTTATGATGGAAAAATTGTTTCTGGAGTAAAAAATATTTTTCTACAATAAGCACGTAACTGTGTGTTTTACATTAATAAGCAGCAGAAGCAAACAGTGATCAAAAGGAGATGAAACGTTAGTTCGCCTCCCTCACACAGGCAATCTTGTCTGTCGTCTTCTGGTATCATACACCTTTGCTTCTGACATCATCCTTTCAGTAAAGACTAGCTAGAAAATGCACTGATGCAAGTCTGAAGACTTGCTTTGATTCCAGTGTGGTGTTTCCAACTGTAAATCATATATCAATTTATTGGTTTATATATATATATATATATATACATTTATATGCATATATTGGTCCACATACATGTTTGTGCATACACACAGAGGGTCCTTATTTGATCATTCTTTCAGATCACATTTTAAAGCCTTTCTCTGGCAGCATAAGATCTAGAAATATTTTTTTTTTGCCTTACTCATTTCTGATACTTCATGGTTCAGATCACTAGAAGTGCTGTCCACAAATGCTCTCATCAATTTTTTCCCATCAGTTTTGTCCAAGTTCTTTTCCAATGTGGTTTATGCCCTTTGCATTTCTTTATAAAGACAAAGTCTCACATCAGCCTCTTGTTTGTATGACCTTTAATGATTGCAACTACTATTCCACACTAAACTTTCAAGTGAAATACTCTCCACCCTTCTTCGGTGACTCTCCCCTCCCTTCTTTTCCTCCTACATTTCTAACCCACCTACTGGCACATTTTTGAGGGGCTTTTTCTTACATGCTTCCCAGCTTCCAGTAGATACTAACCAGACCTTGCCCCTAGAGTCGCTCCTGTAGTCACTCTACATTTTATCCCCAGATAATGTGTACTACAACCACAGTTCAGACAATTCCCACACTCAGATTTTTCACTGCTACACCTCTTCACTGGAGATTGGCATGCTTTCCTAACTAAACTCTTGACTTGTGTCTCTGTTACCTTCTTCGGACTGTTCAGT